AAAAAAAAAAAAAAAAAAAAAAGAGAAAGAAAGAATTCACATTTTTCCACTTTGCCTATATGATAAGACTATACTTTTTATGTAGGTTTTTAAAAATTATTATTTTTTTGGCCTAGTTCAACTCACAGAAATGCAGATTGTAACATAGTTCCTTTGATGAAAGCCTGGAAAGGTGAGTCAGATTATAAAAGCCCTAAGGCAGGCTAAAAACATTTAACTTCTTTGCCTCTAAAAAAAATAAAAAAATAAAAAAAGACAGAATAGAATAAAGACATATTTAAATTTATTTTTATTATTTATTTATGTTTGAGATAAGATCTCTCTGTGTAGTTTAGGCTGGCCTAGAATTCACTCTGTAACCAAGGCTAGCCTCAAACTTGTGTTGATCCTCCTGCCTCAGCCTCCTGAGTATTGGGATTACAGGCATATGCCACCATGCCTGGTTTAAATTAATTTTTTTAATTAAAAAAATTTTTTGGCACTGGGGAATCAAACTTAGGACCTTGTGCTTGTGAGGCAGGTGGCAGCACCACTGAGCTGAATCCCCAGTCCTTAAATTTATTTTTAAAGAGCTCAGTATGGTAGTGCCAGAGAGAACAGGTTCTACTGGGCAGAATTGGGAAGAAGCCAGGAGCAATTTTAATTATTAGAGGTTGATAGGGATATAAAGTAAGGTAGTGGATACTAGAGATACTAAACAACAGGATGCTTTTTGGTTGATTGGTTATGGGTCTAATGGAAGAGGAGGAACTAAGAAAGATCACCTCAAAATTTCTGGCTTGGGAACTTGTTCCGTAGTTACCCCATGAACTAAGAATAGAGAGAATGAAAAACAGCTTGAAAAGAAAATAGTGACTTTAGCTTTGCTAAATGAAGAGAGATGTGACACAGAAGCCAAAGGAGAAAGGAGTTTTAGTGGGAGGTGATTGAAATCAGAAGCTGCAGAGCCCATAATCCACTTGATGGTGGCCATTAGGAAGGTTTGGTCATTGGTTACCAGTTTGTGTAAAGTGGAGGTTAACAAAGATTAGAACAGAATGGGAGGGGGAAAGTGGAGACAGTGATTACAAACTATTCTTTTAGAAAGACTGGCTATAAAGTGAGGGTAGTACTTACTGGAGGATATATTAATCTTGCAAATGTCAACTTCTGGCTCTAGATTACCTTTCAAAGCATGTCCAAGTAACTTTTCAAAACCTGAGTCTAAACTTTGTGTAAACTTTGTCTAATCTTTTCCTCACCAGAAATACACTAGCGCTGTTTTCTTTTATTTATTTATTTGTTGTTACTGGAAATCAAAGGGACCTTATGCTTGTGAGGCAGGCAGTGACATCACTGAGCTAAATCCCCGGCTGCTAGTGCTGTTTTATTTATTTATTTATTTATTTATTTATTTATTTATTTATTTATTTATTTAATTTTAATTCTTTTTCCTCATTGAGTGTGTTGGTACATTTTAGGGATACAGTACAGTTACATTCATCATTGGGATCTTGTACCTTTACATGACAGGTCTTGGTTCTCATTTTTTCCCCTTATACCTGCCCTCCCTTCACCCTTCTCCCCTCCCCATTTACAAACACTTCATTTTTACTTTTTCATTTTCTCTTATTTTTTTCTTTTCCCCTATTACCTTTCCCCTACCCTTCCCACTTTCCCTACACCTTTAGCCCCTTTCTTCCTTTTTCACATTGTCCATTATATCATTAGGATCTTATGTACTATTATAGTTTATTTACACCAGAGAAACTATTTGGTATTTACATATGTGTGACTTATTTATTTCATTTAGGAGTATATCCTCAATATGTATCCATTTTCCTATGAATGAATCTAATTTCTCATTCTTTAGGGCTGAGTAATAACCCATTTTATAGAAAAACCACATCTTCCTTATCCAGTTTCCAACTGATGGGGAAATGGGCTGTTTCCAAGTTTTAGCTATTACAAACTGTGCTGGCATAACCATAGGTGCACATATATCTCTGTTATGTGATTCTTTTAATTCTTTTGTAAAGATACCCAGCAGAGGGATGGCTGGGTCAAATGAAACCTCTAAAAAGCTTTTGCACTGCAAAAGAAACCATCAACAGAACTAAGAGACAACCTACAATGTGGGATAAAATTTTTACCAGCTGCTCCTCAGACAAAGGGCTGTTATCTAGAATATATAAAGAACTCAAAACGATCAGTCCCCCCTAAATATAAAGACCCGATTCAAAAATGGGCATCTGAAATGAACAGACATTTCTCAAAGAAGTAAAAACAGCAAGTAAATATATGAAAAAAATGTACCACATCACTGGTCATTCGAGAGATGCAGATGAAAACAACACTGAGATTTCACCTCACCCCACAAAGAATGGCTGCTATGAAGAAATCACACAATAACAAATGTTGGCGGGGTTGTGGGGAGAAAGGAACCCTTCCCCATTGTTGGTGGGAGTGTGGACTGGTGCAACCACTATGGAAATCAATATGGAGATACCTCAAAAAGCGAGTGCTGTTTTAAATCCAGCCTCATGGCTCCTGACATGTTCCATTTAACACATACTTAGTTTTTCTGCTTCTACTCTCACCTACTCCATTCTGCTGCCAGGCCAGAACTTTCTCTGGTTTTTTCCCTACCAAACCCTTTTTCATCCTTTATCTTTTAAATCTCAGCTTAAATATGTCCTCTAGGAAGACTTCCCTGACTCCTCCATTCCTAACTAGCCATTCTGGGATTCTCCCTTCCCCTCTCCTCACCTCCTTTTCATGCTTCTAAAATAGTTCTTACTACACTGACTTTATGAAACTTTGGCTACAACTAGGTCTGCCTACCTTCAGCCTGAGCTTCTTTACATAATGACTCATCCTTCCTTCCCCAATATTTGGAAAGAGCTTACTACATAGTAGGAGCTCAATAAATGTTAAATGAATACATCTTTGATACGATAGACCTTCTTGCCATGATGACAGTGTAGAAAGGACTATTAGAATTATTTTTCTTGATTTAAAACTTTTCCATCTAAAAGCCAATGAGAGCTGGGTGCGGTGCATGCCTGTAATCACAGCACTGAGAAGGCTGTGGCTTGGAGGATCACAATGAGTTCGAGGCCATCCTGGGTTACATCGTGAGTTCAAGGGCAGCCTGAACTATGTAGCGAGACCTTGTTTCAAAAAAACAAAAAACCCCCCACAACCCCCCCCCTTGCGCAAAACAGAACAATGGAAACTTGAAAACAGATTTTTAAAAAGGAGACTAATTTCTCTAATATTCTTCTCTTTCCTAATAGCTTATTTTATGTGTTTATTTTGAATTGTTCTTTTGATTTTTTTCTTACCATGTTTTGTTAGCTCTCTATACACTAGGACAGCAGTGGTGAACCTGTGGCACACATGCTGCAGCAGGCTGTTTGGATCACTGAAAGCTCTACAGTTCCCCATCACTGCACTACGATCACAAGTGCTGTGTTTGCACCCTTCACCACCCTCGGTTTTTTCATAGCCTTTCTTATCCATGTTCTTGTGTTCTCAACTCTTATCAATGAAAATTATAGTTCTCAATGAGTAAAAATGCTTTGAACGTTTCATCTAATATTCTCAGGATTGATTTAAAAAATTACAACAACCTCAGAAAGATCCTCCCAGGATTATGCAGTAGCAATTTATTCTTTGAAACAAAACATTTTAGTAATACAATCCTTTGAAAATGAACCAGAGGAAAGAGAGTGGTGGAATATTATGACAGAAATTAGATCACATGAGTTCCAATTTTGTCTGGGGAATGTCACTTAATTCAGAGGGTCTCAGTTTTCTCGTTTGGATAACAAGGAAGTTGGACAGTTAAGCTTTAAGATCTTTTCCAGCCTCAGCACAGTGCAATTTTAGACTCTAGTCAAGGCCAGGAGAGAACCATTTACACGCACAATGCCCAACTAACCACTTCCTCATAACTCTAAGACAACTCATATACAGTTAGCATTGGTAAACCACCGAGAGTACAAAAAATACAGCATATATTAAATGTAAAAATACCTTGAACTTAAAAAGCAGCTATGATTATGTTTATCCGTTCTGTGCAATTCCAAATCTGTGGAATAGATATGGGATGAAACGATGGGGCATGCTGTGTAATTACTTCTCTAAACTCAGATAAGGAGTCACTGTGACTATAACAAGATCAAAGCCCAACTTTTCAGTTCTAAAAGTCATTTTGTCCTTGAAAATTCTACCACTTTATGAATGTGAGTTCTTTTTTTTTTGGTACCGGGGAACAAACTCAGGTCCTTGCGCTTGCAAGGCAGGGGGAGGAACCACTGAGCTAAATCCCAGGTCCTGAATGTAAATTATCTGTGTGGTTGTTGAAGAGGTAGGAATAGAATAGTTAGGAAATTATATAACTAGGTATCAAAGGTATATTTAATCGATTGCTAAACAAAGTCAAAGAAAAAAGTCAGATGGAAATGGGGAATTAAATTTAATCTCAAAGAATACTCAGTATTTAAGTAGATGAAAAAGGGCAAGAGAGAGCATTTATGTGATGACTGAAACAACGCTATGGTGGGAGATAAGCCTGAATGGGCTTATTTGTTTTGTCTGTGGAGGAACAGTTTTGCTTTTCAGCAGTGAAGAGAAGGCTAGGAGGGCTAGGAGGGTGTGCAGCAAATGTTCCCTGCCTTTTGGCTGGGGAGGAGGACAGCATTTTGTTCTTCTTTTTTTTTTTTTTTTTTTTTTTTTTTC